TTGCCTATTTTTAATGACGAATACACACTACCGCCGCCTGCTGGTAAGGAGAGTTATTGCCACTCACGCACTGAAGTCTTTGCGGTGTGTTCCCGTGCGACACATGGCCAAGACGCAGGAGAACACCGCGACGCAACAGCCGACGTTGGCGTCGGCGAGTCCTCTGGTGACTGCTTGGTGTGTCAGGGCCTTTAGCCTGCAACCTAACCTGGTCCCGACCAGGTTAGCCGCACAGCATAAGTTACCATGGAGATCTAGCCTGTTAAAAAGAGAACCAGCGTCGTAGGACCGGAAACCCCGAGTTTTCCCTGAAGTTAGACGGCTAAGCGAAAATCCTGCTTCGTAGTATACCCCCCTGGTCGAGACCAGGTTAGGTTGCAGGCTAAGAGCTCAACTCAGTGAAAGCACTGCCTGCTGACCAATCAGAGCTCAGTGTGCAGAGTTTAAAGCGATCAAGTCATATTACAGGAGAAAGGAAATACAGAAAAGCTGCCGTCGCAGGAAAGACGGTCGGCAAAAATCACCGACTGTGTGAACGTGAACATTAATAGAATATCACCTCCATCTTCAGAGCAATCTGACTATTATAACATTAGCGTTAAGAACACTTACCACATATCTACCACAACATAAGTAACCGGATCAGAGTAACATTAAGTACAGTCCGCTGCATATCACTTCATAATGTATCATATATCTCCTTATCTGAGTCAGCTGAGCCGTATCTGGCCGTGCAACACGCAGTGTCACATACTGTATGCAGAAGTATTATTTTAAGCAACACATTAAGTTGACGAAACACTCGAGTCAAATGTAATTAAAGTCAGATCGTGTCTTAGACGGGGCAGTGATATCATAAACCTGTTAATGTACGCATTCAAACACTTGTTCTGTTACCAGCTGTATTCACCTTGCAGGTGCAGCTATGTGGCTTTTATGCTGGATAAAGTGTTTAAGTCATGGATGTTTAAAGTTTAACTTCTTCATATGTCTAATAATATAGTTCACTTTTCATTCAGGAAGTATGACGCGCTGCGCTGTCAGTATGCTTCTCCATGTTTGTGATTGGTCGAATGCTCCAGATACCACCCCTTTCATGTGAACGCGCACCTAACTAGATAGGACACGGCTGGCTTGAGCGATCCACTTGATAACCAGCGTCGTAGTACCGTTTAGCGAGAGCGCGTATGTTTTGGATTAAGTCAACCGGATAACTCAAACATATCCAGGTTAGGTTGAACCAGCTTCGTAGTATAGGCCCCTGTTGTGCTTACTTGTTGTGCGTACTCGTTATGCTCGTTAATCCATTGAATGTTCTGTGTTTTGTTATACTGCGTAGCAGCGTGTTAAAGCAGTGTTCTGTGTTTAGTGTTGTGCGAGTAGTATCCAGGTTAGTTTAGCGGTTAGCGCCTGTGAATTAGCATCAGCTGTGTTTTGTTACAGCCTTTTTCAGTTCATGTACCACGTTTTAGTGAGGTTTTTGTTTCTCTTTTGTACGGATTATTACTGTGTATAATCTGTTAAACTCTCTTTTGGAGTCTCTTTATTTTGGTTGTTGTCAACCAGCATTTGGCCCTTTGTTTGTGCCAAGCTTGCCTTATTATTTTGTTTCATGACTAATAGTTATAATTAAACCACTTATAACTTTTACCAATTCCACTCTGGTTTGTGTTGCTTCCCTTTGGTTCCCCTAGCCCAGTAGGGAACGTAATAATATTGTTTATTATATTATAACTTAGTACTTTTTTTTAACGCATTTAAGATATGCAACACTAAGCTGTCTGTGGCTCTTTCCTGCTGTAACGCTGCACATTTCCCCTCTGTGGGACTAAGAAAGGTATTCTGATTCTGATAAAATGAAATCCACTGAAGTGTGGGTAATTACTTGAATAAACGCAAAAGGGTTTACAGTCAACTTTCAAACAGGCAGACAAGAACAAAGTATGTAAACAAACCGTTGTCTAACAAAGCACAGAGCTAACAATAGAAGATATCACTGGGAATACGTCAACAGACAAGACAAAAGGACAAAGGAAACAGGGCAGATATATATGATTAGAGACAGCTGTAACTGGTCAGGGTGGGGCAGGTAATCAAAAAGGCGGGAAGGAAAGCATTTAGATAAGGGACCAGAATGTGATAATCACAGCATTTTAAATGAGGTTGCACCAAATTAGAATACAATTATGTAGAGGATGTGTATACTTTTCTCAGCCACTGGTCTAGTAGACCTGTCAAAATCCAACTATTCAATATGTGAAGCTCAAGATGGTATTTCTTTTAAGATGAGTTTACACATGAGAAGCTCCAGTGGACAGTTTGAGGAGTCCACTTAGTGAACTTCATCAACCCATTTGCCCAGAAACCAGCGTGTTCTTCAATGGAGTTCTCAGGAGGTCTGACACACTTGTTCTGGTCATGCCCTAGATAAGTTATATTCTAGAAATCATTTCTTGATAGTGTCTGAGATTCCAAATGCCAAATGCGGCACTTTAAAAATACATGACCTCCAATAAGCTAAGTGAAAGTCACAAGAGTGGAGGCCATTAACTTTGAAACTGCGGAGGGCAACCCGGACCTCCTTTAAACCCAACAAGCTGAACTGAGTCGAAAACTGTTCTTTTAATTCTCTGATTGCAATCAATTCAAAGTGCCTCGACCGGCCTTCATTTGTCAGCGATGATTTCCGAACTTATGAATCACATCCCTTAAAAGGAACCAATGGGTAAAGTGGACCTCTTGCTCTTGAGGTGCAACAGGTGTTTTATTTTTCAAAATGTGTCATGAGTCTTTAAAGAGGCCTTACTCTGCTTTTGTGGTTTTCCCTTTCTTGTAGTGTTTTATATAGGTTTTAGTGCATGTAAATGGTCTGCAAAGGCTAAAATCCCTGTGTTCCCTACAGACTGAGTTTCTTTCGTACACACTCCCTCCCCCCTCCTGCCTGAAACACCTCCATTAGTCCTTTGTTTACCTCTGTAACATAATGACATCACTACGTAACACTCACGCTTCTATTGGCTAGCGCTCCAACACATTGTACGTGATAGGCTAAGGGGCGGGACATCTCTAAGCGGTTGACCAATCACAACAGAGCCTGCCAGCTAACCAATCAGAGCAGACTGGGCTCTGGTTTCAGACAGAGGGTGAAAAGAGGTGCTGCAGCACAGGCAGTATGAGAACAATAAAGAGCTTTTTGAACATTAAAGCGTGGAGACATGTAGAGACACTACATACTGATATACACCTGAACATCAGCAGGAGAGGACTCTTTAAAGTAGAGACACTACATACTGATATACACCTGAACATCAGCAGGAGAGGACTCTTTAAAGTAGAGACACTACATACTGATATACACCTGAACATCAGCAGGAGAGGACTCTTTAAAGTAGAGACACTACACACTGATATACACCTGAACATCAGCAGGAGAGGACTCTTTAAAGTAGAGACACTACACACTGATATACACCTGAACATCAGCAGGAGAGGACTCTTTAAAGTAGAGACACTACATACTGATATACACCTGAACATCAGCAGGAGAGGACTCTTTAAAGTAGAGACACTACATACTGATATACACCTGAACATCAGCAGGAGAGGACTCTTTAAAGTAGAGACACTACATACTGATATACACCTGAACATCAGCAGGAGAGGACTCTTTAAAGTAGAGACACTACATACTGATATACACCTGAACATCAGCAGGAGAGGACTCTTTAAAGTAGAGACACTACACACTGATATACACCTGAACATCAGCAGGAGAGGACTCTTTAAAGTAGAGACACTACATACTGATATACACCCTAACATCAGCAGGAGAGGACTCTTTAAAGTAGAGACACTACATACTGATATACACCTGAACATCAGCAGGAGAGGACTCTTTAAAGTAGAGACACTACATACTGATATACACCTGAACATCAGCAGGAGAGGACTCTTTAAAGTAGAGACACTACATACTAATATGAACATGAACAGAATCTGGCCGTTCAGTTAACAACTGAATGGTTTTAATATGAGATAAGAGATGGCTGAGTTGCAAAAAAGCTCCACCAGATTAAAACTGATTAAACTACAAATATACTTTTAGAAACAACAGAGAAATAAATGATTTTGTACGAGTTGGTTCAAAGTTTATCAGGCTGTCATATGGCTGCATTCAAATGTGGGCTGAAAAGCCTGATGTTGTATTCTATAGAACAAGACAGACAATAATAATAATACCAATTCAAATGGGAATAGGACTGCCTTTCAAAGCCCTTTTGTTTTGTCAAACTCTGTATAAAGTTTGTGTGAATGTTGGAATTGTTGATACCAGGGAGGTGTGGGAGGGGTTAGACAATCCAACAAGCTTTGATTGAATAACACACATTTATTGTTGACCACTTTTTCGTATCCTTCATTTGCGTCCTTTAAGATTTTGACTATCTTTCTGTTTAAATGCATGACTCTTGGGGTCAGGTAGGATTTGACTCACGTTATAGTCCCCAGTGTACAGTATTGGTTGTCTGAGTAGCTTGAACCCTAGATTTTTAGGGTAAATAAACACTAATTTGGGGAAAAAATATACGTGGGACAATTTTTCAACTTTTTAACATAGCTAATCGTTTTCTACACAATTTTTTCAATCTAAAAAAGCTGATTAAAAGTATATTTCAGGGGGGTGCATGATACCCCCTTCTACCCACTCAACTACTAGTGGCTTAATTAAAAGCAATTAATATTTTACACATTTGCCCTTTATTTTCTTTTCTTCACCTCAAAGTCACTGTAATGCATTAGGCGAGAGCACAACAAGTTCACCACACAGTTCATAAAGTTGGTGTCACATTGGGTACTTATTTATTATTAACTACTTTATATGTGATGCTTTTCCAATAAAGTAAATCTGATAAACACATCCAGGTGTGCGAAACTGACGGAATAGGAAATTGACTCCAGAAATGGATCCGGTTGTGAGCTCTTTTCCCTCTGAATTAAATTACCTGAGCTTAGACTCTCCCATAGTTTCCCGAGACTCCATAGCAGGAACAAAGAGGTCCACAGTTCGGTGTCGACTGCTGCTGTTGAGCGTTAGCCTGCAGCTCTCTCCAGGCTTCCTGTGGAAACCTGTCTCACCGCTGGCATCGAGGTATAGAGCTGTCACACGGTCTGACAGCTGCTCTCTGCTGGGGGAAGAAGTGTGTTATTAGGAAGGCAATGCAACGTTACACTATGAGCATAATGGGTGGCTTTTTGTGCACTTTTTTTAGCTTATAATCTAACCCTACGCAGTTGTGCACCCAGTGGGAGAAGCATTATTAAGAATGTGATTACTTGATTGGCTTGAATCCTGATTGCTGTTGAGCATGCAGAGGATGCTGTATGCTGCGACTTGTCTTTGATTGTGCGTGGTGGAGCAGGACTTCTGTCGTGCTGTGCAACTAATTATAAATGACCTCCTCTGCAGAACTCATGTTCCTGTGTGTGTGTGTGTGTGTGTGTGTGCGCACATTACTTTGGGAGTGGTTACCTCAGGAGCACGGAAGGTAGGTCAAGGTTAAAAATGAAGAGGGGGCCATTAGCATCTCAACATTAAAAATCCCTTAACATCTTGAATGATAACCACGATGATAACTTCACTCTTTAAAAACCCAATGAGTGCAATCCATCACATAAAACATGCTCCTATTAATGTTTCACCGGGTGCATTTAAAAGCTTTTCCTGAGCTGCGACGACAAGGACACACAGTGTAATAAATGTGAGACATTAAGGCCAGGCAATGTTGACAAAGTCAAATATAATGATATACAGGAACAAATCACTCAATATTGCTAATGGGACTATATTTTATAGATGACGAGGCTTCAGGTTATGATCTTTACTGTAGTGTGGCGCAGTGGGTTGTGCATATGTGTGCGGAACAGAGGGGCACAGGTTCAAACCCCACTGCAGTCAGCATGTCGTTGTGTCCCTGAGACACTTCAGCCCAAATTGCTCCTGTGGGGATTGTCCACAGTATTGAAGTCGCTTTGGATAAAAGCGTCTAACAAGTAACATGTGATGTGTCCACAGGCCTTGCTTGTACGTAATAATAGAATCATTTTGTCAATTATATTATTTCATTATAATTTCACCACACATACATTACATTTTTCATTGTGGTGTCAATGAATTCAAACACAATAATAACTTGTGATTAATCAAGAAAACTTGTATTTTGAGGGGAGATATAACAAATACACGTGTGGTGATGTAATTTATGTGTTTTTTTACTTTATCATAACATGATTTCTGAATTATTGGCATGAAGTCTGACAATTTTCCGACACAAAGCATCGACCAAGCCACTTTCACGGAGAGCCGCCGTGACTCCCCTCTGTGTAACGTGTGCTACACAGGGCGTATTATCTCCATCATACTGCGAGTACTATCTGTTCCTACAGTGGTGACGCTGTCCGCTATCTCACACTCCTGTGCAACTTTAAAACGCAAAAGTTCGAAAACTCAGTTTTCACCGCACCTGAAGCGAATGACAGCAGTCACCATTTATCAGTGATCATGTGTGCTGTTACAGCATGGTAGTGATGGTTCTTACTGCTTTGGTCTAAACAAATCTGCGCTTGGATTACGGGAGGAAGTTGGCGTCAAACTTGGTAATGTGATACATTTACATTCATTTGAACGCGTTGATGAATAGTGATCGTTCAGTTTTAAAATATTCTTGTATTTAAAATGTTAAAGTGTTGTGTTATTTTAATCTTGATGAAGAGATAGAGATTCAAGTGGCTCAAGTGCTGGTGTGGTTTGCTCTCTTCAATTTGATCCCAGGTAAAAGTTGAAATAAAACCCTCTCCTCACTCCTGCTGACCTACATGTTAGGGCTACACATACTGTATAGCAACATAGACTATGCTATAACACCCCTTGTTGTCAGATACAAATGATGTGCAATATATGTATATGCCTTTAATAGCTGTGCCATATACCTGGCGGCTATATCTTCAGAACTGTTACAGGATGTGTATTTTGTCAATTGTGTAATTGTTTTAATATTTTTGTTATCTTTAACATTTTTGTATGCATGCTTTTTGGTTAACATTAAGCTGTATTTGGCTATTTTCTGCTGTAAAAAATGCAAATGTCCCCTCTTTGGGACGGAGAAAGGTATTGTGGTGCTACTTTTGAAAGATTATCCTGCAAAGCAACCTGCTGGTGGCATGCTCGCACTGTCCATTCACTCAGCGGGAGAAACCTACATCCTGTTGTCAAAGGTCTCATAAAGGCAGTTCAATCTCTTGGTGGTATGCACCTTAAATCAAACCTCATTGCCTCACTGGTTTGTATCCATGATGGTGTTTGGTTGTACTGTTTCTCAGAGGTGGGAATACTGTACTCAAGTACATTTTTCTGGTATCAGTACTTTACTCCACTACTTATTTTTCTGACGACTTTTTACTTTGACTTCTTACATTTTGAACACAAATACCTGAACTTTTTACTTCTTACATGTTGAACCCAAATACCTGTACTTTCTACTTCTTACATGTTGAACCCAAATACCTGTACTTTCTACTTCTCACATGTTGAACACAAATACCTGTACTTTCTACTTCTTACATGTTGAACTCAAATACCTGTACTTTCTACTTCTCACATGTTGAACCCAAATACCTGTACTTTCTACTTCTCACATGTTGAACACAAATACCTGTACTTTCTACTTCTTACATGTTGAACTCAAATACCTGTACTTTCTACTTCTCACATGTTGAACACAAATACCTGTACTTTCTACTTCTTACATGTTGAACTCAAATACCTGTACTTTCTACTTCTCACATGTTGAACACAAATACCTGTACTTTCTACTTCTTACATGTTGAACACAAATACCTGTACTTTCTACTTCTTACATGTTGAACACAAATACCTGTACTTTCTACTTCTTACATGTTGAACTCAAATACCTGTACTTTCTACTTCTCACATGTTGAACTCAAATACCTGTACTTTCTACTTCTTACATGTTGAACTCAAATACCTGTACTTTCTACTTCTCTCATTTTCCAAACAGCTAGTTCCTTTAGTCTGAATGTGTGTTTGATGCGTGATCATTATTCTTTAGAGTCATTGCGTGCCTATTGATTTGAACACGATCCGTGTATCCATCATTTCCTGGTCTTCTCTAAAGAAGAGGGACCAATGGAAACGTTGTCATGTTGCCGTTGTTCAGCATGGAAACATTCATTAGCTAACAATGACATTATTGTTCTATTAATATAAAGGGAGGTCAGGTACTCTTTAAAGCAGCTGCTAGTTATGGGTACTTTTTACTGAAGTACATTTCAAAGCCTCTTTACTTTTACTTGAGTAAAGAAGTTTAGTCAGTACTTCTACTTTCACCAGAGTATTTTTAAACACGAGTATCTATACTTCTCCTTGAGTAAAGGATGTGTGTACTTTTGCCATCTCTGTCTTTGTTAAGAAAGTTTGCAGCCCAGTGTGGCAGATCAGTCCCTAAATGCCTCATCCTTTCAGGTATGCCGACCGGGTGCAGCTCGATGACCCGTGACAACCTCTTTAGCCTCCAGGAGTCTCCGGTGCAACCAAGCAGGAGGCTGGAAACAAATAGCCTTTAATAGAATTTAAATATCCGGAATTCAATTATGTAAAGCAAGCAGGACCCTTTAAGCCAGGGGTGGGGAACCTTTTTCGTCTCAAGGGCCATTTCAATTTATACGTATACGGCCCGGGGGCCGGAGGTTCCCCACCCCTGCTTTAACCCATCCTCTTGCAAATCATCTCCTGACAATTATGGTACTTTATAGTAAGTGCAGCTTTCACATCCATCTCCACAGTGATATCAACATTCTTCAGCACATAAGACACCTCTTTTCTAAGAATGAACATGTTTTTATTGTAATTGCATATAACCAAATTGCTCTGGGCACAAACTACCATTTTCATATTGTTTTATAATCATCATCAAGTGTGAACACTGGGAACAATCAGGATACTTACCCAACTTGACTTAAACCTAAGTGTGATGAGTTTCTGGTGTTATTTCATATCTTGAAATGTTCTTTCTTGCTGTTCCCTTGTTCATATCATGGACGAATCATAACAATTAGTCATGATGTGAAAACAAACCTTTGTCATGTGGTTCAGAGATTTTAAATGTTTTTGTGTGCCCAAAATCAAATCAAAACCAAAATGTATTTCCCTACAAATCAGCTCACTGTGGAGCTTTGTCTGTATGTGTTTGAACAAGAAGCATGTGTGTGTGTGTGTGTGTGTCTGTGTGTGTGTATGTCTATGTGGGTGTGTGTATAGAGCGGTTATCGGAGGTCGAGTGATGTCAGTGTCAGTGCTCTCCCTCTTTGTTGACCCTGTCATGGTGACTGCCATCTAAGTGTCTCCATCCGAGCAAATGTTGCACACACACACACACACACACACACACACACACACACACACACACATCACCACACACACACACCACACACACAACACACACACACACACACACACACACACACACACACACAACACCACACACACACACAAACACACACACACACACACACACACGTCTGACATCTTCAAGGGCAAGGGCAACAGCACTGTCAGCGTCAAGGGTGAGGCCAACAGGACGGGCAGCTTCAAGTGTCTGCCCTGAGTCACTACTGCACCCCCGTACACACACACACACACACACACACACACACCACACACAGCACACACACACAAACACACACACACCACACACACACACACACACACACACACAACACACACACACACACACACACACACACACACACACACACACACACACACACACACACACCCCTCCAAACAGACAGTAGTGTGTCTCAGCTCGCTAGACATTCAATATTTTATATTAAATCAATACTTCTTCTAGGAAAAGGACACCAACAAGCAACCTTACCTCTGTATACAGTTGTACAGGTAATGCTACTGTTGTTATAAAATTAGTGTTGGGTCACACAATACAAGTAGCATAATGATTAGGGCTGTCAAGTTAACGCGTTAATAACGCGTTAACGCAACAAATAATTAACGCCACTAATTATTTTAACGCGATTAACGCATGTGTATTTTTTTCCTCGGCCGCCCCCGTAGTTTCAGAGCGCATCGAGCATATGCCTTGAGTTGCACATAGCTCCAACGAACACACACACACACACACACACACACACACACACACACACACACACACACACACACACACACACACACACACACACACACACACACACACACACACACACACACACACACACACACACACACACACACACACACACACACTTTGTATTGTATTATTGTATGAGAGAGGTTCCAGGTTGAATTGAGGCGAGTATTTGTAATGTTCAGAGGTTGTTGTGTTTAATATTCATGGTAATATTTGTCATTGTTCAAATGATAATAACATTTGCATAAAGCATATTTGTCCATATATTGATAAGAGCATTAAAAACTTGAAAAATATTCCTCTAAGGTACATTTAGAACAGATAAAAATGTGCGATTAATTTGCGATTAATCGCGATTAACTATTTTAATCGACTGACAGCCCTAATAATGACATTTTGGCTTATTGTCATAGCGAGCCCGTTAGCTGAAAGCTAGCTAGCACGGTAGCGAGTCAGCTAACCTGGCGACTATAAACAACAGTATTTAAATGTCCATTCACTGTTGGTTAACGATGTATCTAAAGGATATCTTGAATGTAAGATGTGTTATCTTTATTAGCGAACTGCTAGCGAAAAAGATGATCGCATGTCTGCTCCAATGAGCCATGTTTGAAATTGACCAATCAGAAAAGTGACATTACATTTCAAATAGACTAAAAAGGTAGGACATTTCAACATTTCTTCAGGCAAACCCTGGGGCTAACTAATGAATGGAAATCCTTCTAAATCTACCCCAATAAGCACTTAATCACTGACAGTATATCTTTAGATTTGAATGTCCAATCTGATAGGAAACCAACAAATTTATGATGAATCAAGAAATGATTTGATGAAATGAAGTTTTTCCTCAGCAGTGAGGCAGTACACACACTCATGATATCAGACCTCCGTACTTTGAGATGCTTATACGAGTCATTGATGGCATCAAGCATCAGCGAGCACTCATACACACATTACTCAGAGCAGTTGCCATCTCCGCTATCCCACTTACCGACCACCTGCTTATTCTCAACCTTAAATGTCCAGTCTTAAAGCTGACAAATATGTGTGTGTGTGTGTGTGTGTGGTGTGTGTGTGTGTGTGTGTGGGGTGGGGCTAATAGAGTCCAGTAAAGGATTGCTCCATCCCATATTTGCGAAGTTCTTATTTTACCTGGCATCTATTAGCCAGGCAGACAGGACTCACCACGTACTTCGCCGCACTGCAGAGTGTGTGTGTGTGTGTGCGTGTTTTGAGGGTGATGTATTGAACCAATCACTGAGTGACGTCTCATACATCACTTTTATTGCAGCAGTTTGGCCCTAACCCTCATCTTTTCCTGTGTTACTCAATCTTTCCTTCTCTCCATTTTAAGGCACAGGCGGTGGAGGAGGAGATAAATAATAAAGTTTCATGATACTTTCACATTCTCCGTGACAAAGGGGGCTTGTCAGTGCGCTGAGAGATAGTGTTTATCCACTCTGACAAGATTTACTGTGTCAAACTGAACAAGCTCTGGCTGACATTCGCTGGCTGACCTCTTGTACCGGTCTGCAGGTGGAGACATTACTTTGTTTGGCAACAATTTGAGAAAAACAATGCAAATTTGCCATTTGCCATCAGCTATGCCTTTCTCTGGAGACCTTTGTTGTTCTCGCCATATGGTTAAACATATTAAAATGTGACAACAACAAACACATTCTTTGTCTTTTAACATCATAAACAAGCATTATACATTCCTAATGTGTGTGTCAGTGCTTTCTCTAATGAGTTTTAATGGACTGCTTTTGTCTGGCCAGCTCACATTTTTTGTCTCTCTCATCCGAGCCATTATTATGCTAAATAAACAACCGCACGACTTCTTTGTTATTCGGTTTGCCATTGAATAAAAGCGTCATTTCACTGCTAATTGTTCTCTCTAATCTTCTCATGGATAATTGTTTTTATCCCGACAGAATCTGCTGTGGCTCGCGCTTCATCTGCTATCTGCCAACCAGTTCACTTTTGATTTAGTCTCACTGGATCCCCATTTGGTTTCTCTAAAGAGACCAATATCAAACGGCTTGGCTAGGGATCTAAATCTCTCAATAGTAAGACCTTATCCAGGGTTCATTTCGTGGTACAGCGCGAGGAGTAACTAAAGGTTCAGAGATCTTTCTAATGTTCAAAATCGACATATTCTGCTCGTTTTCAGGTTGATATTTGGATGTAGTGTCTCTTCTGTGACATGTCTCCATGCTTTAATGTTCAAAAAGCTCTTTATTTTTCTCATACTGCCTGCCCTGTACCTCTTTTCACCCTCTGTCTGAAACCAGAGCCCAGTCTGCTCTGATTGGTAAGCTGGCTGAACATAACTCAATCATGCACAAATATATTTTATTAAAAGATAACTTTTCAGTTAAAAACAAAAGGGTATTTTCTCTTGATTTACAAAAACCAAGCCCATCTGGAAATTGAAACGAGTGCAAGTAATACCTGGATCTGTATGTCAGAAAGCATTCGGTCCGCCTGGGTGGATTCCAGTATCTTTAGCCCTGCAAGAAGTAAAGTCATGTACTCTGAGGTCAGATAGTATTTGTAGTACAGCAAAGAGGTTTTAGTGCTGACTTGTATTTGAAATCCAGGCGGAGATAACATGCATAAATCGTAAGCCTTTAAATACAACCCACAACCTCAAAAGTCATAATGTTTCTATAGCCACATAACCTTATCCACTTGTCAACTACTCCTAAATGTATTTTATAAAATAGTTTACTGCATTAGAAATCCTCTACAGTAGATAACATGACAATTGGATAAATCACTATTTACATTTTCATTGTTAACACAATACGAACAGATACATTTTCAAAGCAACTTCTTTTACATGTTATATATAAATGTGTCTATTTAAAGCAATTTTATTGTTACAATACAAAAATGATGGCATCGATACCAAACCTGCTTGCCTAAATATATTGATACTGATAGTGAAACGATGCCATGGGGCCAGCAATCGTATTACCAATGGGTGTGGGAATGGAATTGATTGTAAAAGCCAAACATTGGTCTAAAATATTTTAAGGAACCTAGTATGACTTGTGTCTTAAATCTTGATTTCAAAAAATGTGTTTGGTCTGATTTTCACTGGGATAGTTGGCGTTATCTTTTAATAAACCTGCTCAAATCTGATATCCAACAAGGAGCAAGGCTTCCATACTGTATAAAAAGGTTCCTTAGCTGCTTAGAAAAACTGAGAAAAGTTGTTTTCCTTAATTTAAAAAGTCGAACAGACAGACCCTTTTGGAAAAGTAAGAAGATCTGAAAAATGTTATAAAGGATCTTCCCATATGTATAAAAGTGAAAACTTGAGTAGGCCTATTTTTTATTTAAAATCATAAGCAACGGCACTTCAGGAAAAAGAAAATCTGAGAAAGTCTGAATGTTGTACCATTATAGAAACAGTGGATAAGTTGGATAAGATGCATGTTAACCTAATAACATGCATCCATCATTATCCATTATCCACAAAGATGGCAAAAGTACACTCATCCTTTACTCAAGTAGAAGTACAGATACTCGTGTTTAGAAATACTCTGGTGAAAGTAGAAGTACTGACTAAACTTCTTCACTCAAGTGAAAGTAAAGAGGCTTTGAAATGTACTTCAGTAAAAAGTACCCATAACTAGCAGCTGTTTTAAAGAGTACCTGATCTCCCTTTATATTAATAGAACAATAATGTCATTGTTAGCTAATGAATGTTTCCATGCTGAACAACGGCAACATGACAACGTTTCATTGGTCCCTCTTCTTTAGAGAAGACCAGGAAATGATGGATACACGGATCGTGTTCAAATCAATAGGCACGCAATGACTCTAAAGAATAATGATCACGCATCAAACACACATTCAGACTAAAGGAACCAGCTGTTTGGAAAATGAGAGAAGTAGAAAGTACAGGTATTTGAGTTCAACATGTAAGAAGTAGAAAGTACAGGTATTTGAGTTCAACATGTAAGAAGTAGAAAGTACAGGTATTTGAGTTCTAACATGTGAGAAGTAGAAAGTACAGGTATTTGAGTTCAACATGTAAGAAGTAGAAAGTACAGGTATTTGTGTTCAACATGTAAGAAGTAGAAAGTACAGGTATTTGAGTTCAACATGTAAGAAGTAGAAAGTACAGGTATTTGTGTTCAACATGTAAGAAGTAGAAAGTACAGGTATTTGAGTTCAACATGTAAGAAGTAGAAAGTACAGGTATTTGTGTTCAACATGTAAGAAGTAGAAAGTTCAGGTATTGTGTTCAACATGTGAGAAGTAGAAAGTACAGGTATTTGTGTTCAACATGTAAGAAGTAGAAAGTACAGGTATTTGAGTTCAACATGTAAGAAGTAGAAAGTACAGGTATTTGTGTTCAACATGTAAGAAGTAGAAAGTACAGGTATTTGAGTTCAACATGTAAGAAGTAGAAAGTACAGGTATTTGTGTTCAACATGTAAGAAGTAGAAAGTACAGGTATTTGTGTTCAACATGTGAGAAGTAGAAAGTACAGGTATTTGTGTTCAACATGTGAGAAGTAGAAAGTACAGGTATTTGAGTTCAACATGTAAGAAGTAGAAAGTACAGGTATTTGTGTTCAACATGTGAGAAGTAGAAAGTACAGGTATTTGTGTTCAACATGTGAGAAGTAGAAAGTACAGGTATTTGAGTTCAACATGTAAGAAGTAGAAAGTACAGGTATTTGTGTTCAACATGTGAGAAGTAGAAAGTACAGGTATTTGAGTTCAACATGTAAAAAGTAGAAAGTACAGGTATTTGAGTTCAACATGTAAGAAGTAGAAAGTACAGGTATTTGTGTTCAACATGTAAGAAGTAGAAAGTACAGGTATTTGTGTTCGACATGTAAGAAGTAGAAAGTACAGGTATTTGTGTTAGAAATGTAAGAAGTAAAAGTAAAAAGTCGTCAGTAAAACAAGTAGTGGAGTTAAGTACTGATACCAGAAAAATGTACTTAAGAACAGAAACAAAGTATTTGTACTACTTCCCACCTCTCCATCCACCAATCAGCATCAGACTCTTACACACTCACCTGGCATGCCTAGTCGTCTCTTCACAATTTGTTTCACTTCATTTTAGTGTTACGCCAGCATGAAGCCAAACACACACAACACATCGTTGACGGAGCCAAACTGGCAAGCCTCAGCGGAGACAGACAGCGCTTCAGATGTTAAACAGGCGCTGAAAACTCTCATGCTGTCATAGTCTGCTCCATCATTCACCAGTAGTTTTCCATTCACCTGTCTCACCTGTTTTCCACACCCACTCGTTAGCTTAGCTTCTGCCAGTATTTAAACCCGCACCTTACACACTCTTTGCCAGATTGTACTTTGCCTCATGCTTGTCTTTCCCGCGTTTGAAACTAGATTGCCGGTTCCAACCCTGCCTGTCCTCGATCTGCCTGCTCTGCCTGTTCCCTGATCCTGCCTGTCCCTCGACTATCCTGTCTGGCCTGTTATCCGACCCTGCCTGTATCTACGCTGACCACCTCGCTTACTCCCTGACTCTCTGCCTGTCCCTGACTCACCTTCTGCCCGCTGTCCTCCGGTGCGTTAAACTGCTCGGTTGGTATTCCTCAGATCCAGGGGAATCTCCAATAAAGTTTATTACCAATTCTCCTTGGTTTCTCGAGTGCTGCATTTGGGTTCTCCTTAAGATTGTGACACATGCATGGCTAAGTTCTTATTGCAGGAAATGTAAAACATTATTTCAACATGAAAATATGCAATCAGGAAGCTTTAGTTGATTAGAGAGAGTCTACCAGCTACTCCAGGAAGTGGATCGAATCAGTGTAATGTTCTGTGCTGGTCCTGAATAAAAAATGTGGCATCATACTGAATGACAAGGTAGCAAAGCATCAACAAAGGCCACATTTTAAAAATGAAATCGCAATTGTTGGTGTTTCCTTTTACTCTCACTACTTTTAAATCCAGGCTGAATACTTTTCTTTTTGCCACTGCTTTTAATTGATATATTCATATCTCACACTGCACTGTACATTTTATTCATGTACCTTTGTTATTCATGTTTTATTATCTTTGTTTTTAAATTATTGTTTTTAAATGCCATTTTATAATATGGCTCTTAATGTCTTTCATTTTTGTAGAGCACTTTGAATTGCTGTGTGTGAAAAAAGGGGCTATATAAATAAACTTGCCTTGCCTTGCTTTCTTTTCAAATATATACAAAATACTTTCATCGGTCAGTCCTAAAATGGCAAACTTTCGAAGGGGCTCTGAAAAATATATTTGTTTCCGTGGAGTTTCCCCCTCTCGAGAACAAAGATGGGACAAGAGAAAAATGGGTTTAGAGCATGGGTAGGCAAGTAAGTTTGGCCGTTGGCCAATTTTTTGCTGAGCCGCAAGATGGCGGGCCAGAACATAATCAAAGCCTATTCAAGGAATTGATTTTGGTAAGAGGGCGCAGCGCCCCTGTTCCCCGGTTCAGAAAAAACTCTGATATCGCTGTTAAGCCTCCCCATCAACACTCTGATGCGCAGTCAGATCCGCTGATTGGTTCACTGATGCCAAAGGGAGGCTCGTCCTCTCTAGCCCCATTTCAGTCCCAAAGCCAGGGCTATTATCTGTATTTTAACAGACTTATCTTTTAAATTGAGGTGTATTTATTGTTCTTTTCAAAGTTTATTTTTCTCTGAAATTGTAGGGAGGATGGTCCTCCCTTTCCTCAATGGACGAGCCTCCACTGAGTAAAGTAGAGTTATTAACTAGCAGTGTTATTTAACATACTTTTATTCTGATAAGTATTGTCAAGTTCTCTGGGTTTTTGGCATTTATTTGAGTGTTTGCCCACATTTGAGAGGCTTGAGGGGCAACTGGAATCCTTTTTCCTTTTCTTTATTTCAACTTTTCAAGGACACATTAGGATTCTTTCAGGTTGAAAACCTTTAAAAAATACCAAAGGACAAAATAAATCAATTACAGCAGTTTTGCTTTGCAATTTCATATATTATAACCTAAATTAATCAGTAACCAAGCATTTTACTCAAACTCAATGTATTTAATAGTTAAATAAGTACTTTAATTGACCTGGTTCCCCCCAACCACACATTTGCCATATGTGACCCGCTCTATCGAAATCAGTCGAAAGTCGCAACGGCTCATTCCAAAATAAATGTGGATTTGCGTAAACAAATAGTTTTTCGGGGATCGGGTGTTTTGTTTGATTTTAAATAAACAAAGTCTTGGCTTTCAGAATATGACATTTTTATTTCCAAAATCACAAAAATAAATACATGTTTGAAGCTTGTAAAGGGAAGATGACAGCTCTCCCTCCACTCTGCTCTTCCACAGCGCAGCTTCCCCTCCCTCCGCTGACATTATGAATGTAAGCGGATATGTCGGGACAGAATTTATTTTACCGGACACATTTGAAACTTACCGGTCATGTTTCAATAATAATAATAATAATAATTGTGTAGCAGAGTTTCCGTTAGCAGGTAATCACCGGACTAGGACCGGATATGCTGATGTTTAAAACTCAGTTAATGGGGCTCATTTTTATATTGCTTCAGTTTATAATCGTTACAGATCAAAAATATCAGATTCATTTTTCTATAAATGATTCCACAAACAACAAACAACATAATTATTACATTCAAACAAACTACTTGTAGTAGATGAAGTACATTATTCAAAAGTTTACATTAACTTTGAATAATAACACGGGAGAAACGGATGCTCTCTTTTCCCCTCTCCCTCCCTCTCTCCTGACAGCCCGTCAGTTTCTCATGCAGCTCCTGCAGCTCGCTAAACAGTGGGCGGGGCTTCAGGTGATCATGCAGAGCTGCGTGTCTCCATCAGACTCAGCAGCTGATCTGATCTCTCTCTCGGGTCCGGTTACACTTCACTCGCGTTTATGTCCATATCAATCAGATCCAGCTCTCCTGATCGGCCTTTATAGAGAGCACCGATCAAACTATTAAGAGTGAATATCGGCCGATAATGACCGGCGGCCGATAATGACCGGCGGCCGATAATGTCCCGATCGATCGGCGGCTAACGGAAACCCTGATGTGCACTGTCGGTCCTATGTTGTAAAAAAAAAAAAAAAATCAAAATAATATTTAATTTTTGATTCTCAAAATTACGGGCCAAATATTATTGCTGGTGGGCCAACAATGGCCCGCGGGCCGCCTGTTGCCGACCCATGGTTTAGAGCAGGGGTGCCCAACCTTTTTTTGAACCGAGAGCTACTTTTAAAGTTGCCAGTCTGCCGAGATCTACCAGTCCAAATAGAGAGGCGTAGCCATTACTGACAGCCTACTACCAGGTGAATACACACTTCTACTTGTATAAAACTGACCTTTGTACGATTAATACTTCATAAAATACTGCAGATCCTTTATCTTACCTCTTTCTAATCTACACACATACAAGTATTTAACTGAAGTTACACAACAGTGTTGTTGATACAGAGTTGGTGTTTATTCACACGTCACTACAGTGGGTAATGTTTTCAAGAAACATTGAACAGTGCTGCCACATATGACACATGGAAAAAAGAAAAGACTCTGAACCCTTTCTTTGCCATTATATAAAAATAGTGTTGCTACAAAAGTATAAATGAGGCTTACTAATAAGACAACTCAGATCTCAAGCTACACAGGAATCTGCTGCCAAAGTGCAATAAAAAAGACAAAATTAATAGAATCAAACCCTTTTTTTGTTGCATTTTAGTAGATTATAAAAATAAATGCCTTTTTAAAATAGGATGCAAGCAACATAGTTTCTTAACCTGAATTGATAATAGACTATAATCAATTTAAGTTTGCATTCTTATACCATTTTGTACAATAATTATAATGAATAAGTTCAAACAAACTCAAACTTACAGCTGATTAATAACGGTATCTAACTTGAGTTTTTATCATATCAAAAACCTGTTGAAATGCTACTGTTATTTTTATTACGCATCGGCAGCCTCCAGGCACGCTTCTTTCACAACTTCGCTGTCTTTGAAAGACTTCATGTGTTTCTCAAGAACGTGACTGACACGATAAGATGCTCTGGTAGCAGCCTTGCTCTTGTTGTTGACCTGGTGAAAATGGACTGCTGTGCATTTAGCTGTCCTCTCAGGCCCCTCCCCTTTTGGAGCGTAGGGCAGAATTAGGAGGGAATTCCGTCTCGTAGCGTTTGTGCACTGTTTTGAAATGCCGCTCCTAAATGACCCTTCTTCGATAAAGCCACGCTCGCATTGCAGATGAGACAGATGGACTTTGAATTGGAATAGATACAAAAATAATCATCCTCCCACTCGGAGTGAAAATTATATATGTTTTGCTTCTGCCATAATTGCGGTCTTGTGTGTGTGCGGACTGTCACTCCTGTTGACACGGACAACGTTAGCGAACTAGTGCACTGCCCACTGCTCACCAGCCACGCCCCGACACAGGGTCACGCCGGCCAATCACAAAGCTTTGATGCGTCAAGTGCATTATTCTGGCACAGGAAGATTATGTTACAGGACATTAACGATAAAACAGAATATTGTTGTTCTATTTTTAGACACATCTCGCGATCGACTGGGAATCTCCCCGCGATCGACCGGTCGATCGCGATCGACTGGTTGGGCACCCCTGGTTTAGAGAGTAGAGGAAAGGAAGGGTAGGGGAGGTCAAGAGGGTTGGGAAATAAGAGGAACAACAGTAGGCGCTTTCACACCGGAGTACTTTTCCCAGTAGCCTATAGTTCCGAAATGTGCGTTCACACCAAACAAATCCGGAACTAGAACTTAGTTCATGAGAACCTTTTTACCTCCTTTTCAGTCCCTGCTAGAGAGAGCAGGGGCTTTCGTGGGAGAAAAAGGTTCTCATTTCTGATTGGCTGGGCGGATTGCAAACCACGCCCCGTAAAACTCCCAAAAAGTTTTGTGAAGCCGCCATTTTATTTTCCTCGCATTAGCATTATTAGCATTAGCATTAGCCCAGCGCACAAACGCAGAGACTAACTTATGGCAACACAAAATAAAACATGGGAGCGGTGGAGATGAGGAGGTGTCGGAGTTCTGGCGATTTACTCGGAAGGTTTCAGTAAAAGCTGCTGGGGGTCACAGCAGCGCCAGCTTCTACTGAAGCCAGTCCCCAACTCCGGAGACTTTCGGCCGGGGACTTCGGGCGGCAGTATACATAGATATATATAAACACTGGCGGCCATCTTGCCACAGTCAACTACTACGTACAACCTGATCTCACCAGAATGCGTGACTCCACCACGACTCCTTAACACCGCATTGCGTGGTAGAGTCACGCATTTTGCTACATTTACGTGTCGGCACCACGCAAAAAACCCCAATGTAAAGTGAATGAGGCTCTTTTGT